CCCTGCACTTACACTGCGGATCTCGTTGTCTCGAAGTGCTGTGTTGGAGGAATCCACCACCATGACAAACTTCACCTTGGAGTTAGTCACGTAGCCGTATCTGCACAACTGGTTAAGGAACACGCTGTCAACACAGGGACTTTGTGGCAGCATGAAGCACAGCCTCACTGTGGTGAGTGTGTGAGCGGAGGGCCATCTGTGCACATCCCCTGGCTCCAAACCTGCTTTGGAGAAACATGACAACCTGTCATCACAGGAAGTGCCCCAAGCTGGGCCCATCCAGCAATGCCAGGAGGACCATTCGGACCACGCTGGGTGTGACTGGACACTTCCTTGGGGCAGCTTCTGGTGTTTGCTGGAGAAGCAAAAGGCGGGCAGCTAAGCCCATCCTGATTCAAATGCCAAGGCTGCCCTGCCCAGGCCCTGGGGCACCTTGCCTTCTTTATGAATCAGTGCCCAGCTTGAGAGTATTAACTATAAAACCAGAGGTTTCACAAATATGGCCAATCCTGCCTGTGGTAGCGACGCCTCTAAAGGCCATTTCACCTGGTAGAACAGCGGCTCCCAGACAAGCAACACATTTGAGATCTTGCTCCCGGCATATGTCGTCAGTTTGGCTCAAGTAAACTATGATAAAAATTCTCTACAGGTTTGGACAAGAGACATTACTGCTTGTGGGAACATCTTTGAACTCCATGGATTTCAAGCCATTGGTCCCAAGGGAGTGGGTCAAGATTTTAGAGTGACTTGAGCTGGGCCTGATAAGAAAAATGAGTGAGCCAATCATCCCTTGCTCAGAGCTGATGGCCTTACTGAGAAAGGCATCCTTGCAGGAACGAAGCAGCAGCTTCCCTAGTTTTCTACAAACCCGACAAGGGGCATGTGTAGACTGTCACAATTCTCCATGTAATTCAAGCCTGGATTTTCCCACATCCTCCTAGTTAAAGGGAAAAAGTGCATGAGGTCTTAATTAGCTTCAAGCTGCCCTAATTCCCCCCATGGCTGAAAGCCCTCACCTTTTTTTCTTTCCAAGCATTGGTACTGTGGATGGAAAAAAAAAAAGCTTTCTATGGAATGGAACCTCACAGGGTGATCTGATCATAAATTCCTAACTAGTCAGGTCGTGGTGGGTAGTCACGCTCCAGGCATATAACTTTTTAGTAAGAGGTTTATCTTTTTTCTTTTCTTTTTTTTTTTAAAAAGATTTTATTGGGGAATTGGGGTAGGGGAACAGTGTTGGAGAATCAGGGAAGGGGAACAGACAAGTTGCTGTGGAGGACATCACTTCACTGACCCGTGTTGGTATTATCATTGCGCTCTTGCCGGGTGAGGCAGTCACTCGCCAGCCATTGGACGGCCACTCACGGTGGCTCACAGCAGCTCACGAAAGCTCACGCCTGCTGCCGGCCAGCCCCACTGCAGCCTACGCCATTGCCAGCGACTCAGCCGGCCAGCTCCAGGTCGAGCTGTTGTTCACCATCTTAGCTG